CGGAAACACCGCCATTAATCCTTCGAGTTTCTAAAGTGTAGTCAGCAGTCCAAATTGGAACCCTCCGCGTCCCGACATTCCTGTTGCAGTTGGCCCTTGACTCCTTATTTATCAGTCTCGGCAGCTTGCTCATTTGAAGTGCAAACTTCCTCGAAGACCGCGCCGCTAAAGTAGGCCTGCCACTTTATGGTGATTACGATGTTACATTGAACCATCTCTGGTACCAATTTTTGCATTTGTGATCCCCACACGCCGGTTATAGTCAGCCTTCAAATTAGGTACCTAGTATTTGGATGCATATCACCAATTTAGTTGAAATTTCCCAAATTTCCTGTTTTGACCACGTCCCTTTATAATTGACTGTTCTTGTGTAGTGAAGCTCAATGGAAATCGCGAGGTGATTGGCTTACTCCGGGGTTTTGATCCCTTTATGAATATTGTCCTGGAAGAATGCGTGGAGGTGACGAAATCAGGCCAGCAAGTTGGAATTGATACCGTTGTCGTCCGGGGGAACAGTGTGAACGTTGTAGAAATTCTTGAACGTGTATAAAAAATATTTTGTGAAAAAACTTTTATATCTACACGTTCTCCCTTATTGAATAACTTCGACATCTTTGGCGAGTTTCCCAATATTAAACGGGATGGGCCTTGTGATCCATGTATTGGGGACCTTCCGTGTCTGCTTATTGTTTTACAAAATGACTTTTCTCTCATACCGTCAGTTCGTTGCTACTTTTGCTGTTATTAGTCTACAACTTGGTTTAGCTGGACACAAACAAGGGCACTTACCAATTATCATACGATACAGAGAGTACAAAGAGGTAAATGGATGAGGTGATCTTAAAACCGAAGGTTGAAGTAAGACTTGTGGCGATTTTCACTAAACCTCCTATCGAAAAAGTCCCTAGTACATTCCGACTTCATTAATGTGCGTAGGACCCTCTGTGGTTGATTTAACTAGACACATTTGGACACGTGGTTTCTAAGCTGTCACCGCATAAATTTAATTTTTTCTAGGTCGTCCAGGTGATTGTTCGTGTAACTTATATTTTGACGTGGGTTTTTCTTGCTTCGATACTTATTTTTATTGAGAAGAAGAAGACTCGATCGCTGGGACTATGTTTATTCGCCTGACGTTTCGATATCCGTCGCGGATATCGAAACGTCAG